CAGAAGTCAATCAGCACTTCCACTCACCTTTCAGGTTCAGATAAGCCCTCCGTTGCTCAGGTAATTACCCATTGATCTGGAGGTGAACTGCTCTCCACCTCTGAGGAATGCCTATTGATACACAGATGCACTAAAGCCATATTTCTCTCTGCCCCTGAGGATGCAGATGCACTAAGGCCAGGCGAGATATTCTGGAAATATTACAGTTCTACCCACACTCTTTCACCCCACAAACATCTGTATGTCCCTAAAAAATAAGAACAGCCCCACATAATACCACAAAACATGGAATCCCAGCTTCATATTCAAATGTTCCCCCTTGTCTCCCAGAGCTTGTTTGCTTGAACCAGGATCCCAACAAAAGTCACATGTAACATTTGGTTGTTAACATCCCTTGATATTGACTGAGATACTGACATATAATAACAAATATGTGTTTGGTCTTCACCCATTTCTTGGCACAGAACTTCTAAGACCCTTGGAGTTTCCAGAGTGATGGGGTCATAGGCGCATCTTTAGTTATTCATTACAAGCCCTTTTCAACCTCACCTGGCTTTATGCTGATGAGGTGACTTCTAGCGCATTAGGGGTTGGTGGCTGGTTGCCTGAGGCGCCAACCATGTGATTAGATGATGGAACTTTCAGTCCCACCCACTGATTTACTGAAAGGGGTTGGGTGGCTGGAAATTAAGTTAATACCAATGGCTAATGATTTAACCAACTGTTGGGGGAGCATTGTGTATTTTCCTTGGTCCTTGCTCACACCGCAACAAAGAATTGAAGGGCAGAGACACAGTAGTGAAGCAGACTAAAAGTTTTATTTGAAGTTACTTAAAGAGAGAAAAAGTGCAGCAGGCAACCTCAGGGAGGAGAGGCACCCTGAAAGGTTGAAAAGAAAGAGTTTAAAGTTAAAAGGTTACGCACTTTGAAAGTATGGGCAACCTCAGAGACAGGAACGCCCGAAAGGTTGGGGCTTCTCCCTTGTAAGGATTCTTCAGGAATGTGACTAAGGGCTTGGGGGTGCAGACTTTGTTAAATGGTCTTCGAATACTTAGAATTAACTTAACACAAGGAAACTTCCTGCTCTGATTTCTCCCTGGGATACCAGCATCTGGGTCTGGGAACAGATCAAAGAAGACTGCCTGCCCAGCACCCAAGGTGGGCCGTGTTATTGTCTGTTTGCTAAAGAGTAAATTAAGAACCTTACTTCTTAACTTCCTGCCTTTTACTATGTTGTTTACAGCTGGGCCTGCATGCTAAATTAGTTGCCTAGGTTGCAAACTACTTGATTAGGAGAAAAAAAATAGCATATAGGTCAAGTTAATAAATAAGCTGAGCCTGCGTGATTAACACAGTAAAGACATGCTATGCTGAGGTACCCTTCTTTATCTGGGGAATATTCAAACATTCCAGGCCAAGTTGCTCCTGGCTTTTTGAGCTTTAACTGATTAACTCTGGGTCTTTTTTGCGGGCTTTCCTGGTCTTATTGCCTTTCCACTCTGCTCGTATCTATTTTCCTGCCTAACACAATCATGTCCAGACCTTACCCCACGTACCTCTTCATCTTGTTCATCTGTATCCTTTATAATATAAGCTGATAAACATAAAGTGTTTCCTGGGTTCTGTAAACTCCCATAGTAATTATCAAACCTGAGGAAGAGGTCATAGGAGCCCCTGATTTAAAGCTGGTTGGTTAGTAGTACAGGCGGCAACCTGGGACTTGTGATTAGCATCTAAAGTGCAGACAGTCTTGTGGAACTGAGCGCTTAACCTGTGGGGTCTGCACTGACTCCAGGGAGTGTCAGAATTGAATTGAATATTGGACATCCAGTTGGTGTCCAGAGAGATGGAGAATTACTGTTGCAGGGGGTTAAAGCCTCACACATTTGGTGTTAAAGTCGTTGAGTAGAGAAAGTTCTCCTTTACCTCTTTTACCCACATTCTAATATAAAACATTTCAAATCTACAGAAGAATCAAAAGGATTAGACAGTGAATACCCTAAACCCACCCCTTAGATTCACTGTAGAATATTTAACTTTGTTTGCTTTATGGCCTATCTATCGTCCATTTTTAAAGTTGGGACGTAATTGGCAATATAACACTGTGTTTAAAGTGTACAAGGTGCTGACATTTATATGTTGCACTATGATTACCACCACAGTGTTTACTAACACTTAGCTAACACCTCTAACCAGTCACATCATTACCATTTCTTTTTTGTGGTGGGAACAACAAAGATCTAGTCTCTTAGCAACCTTGAAGCTTATAATACAAAATCCTCACCTATAATAATTATGTTGTGCCTTAGATCTCCAGCACTTATTTATCTACTGGTTGCAAGTTTGTATCCACCTTATTTTTACAAGTCAGGTTTATTGAGGTATAATTTACATGTAATCATACAATTCCATACAATAAAACTCATCATCTCAAAGTACATGGTTCAACTTTTTAAGTATACAGTTCAATGAGTTTTTTTTCATGTATTTATTTACACTTTATTGAGGTTATCATAAACATGCAATAAACTGTGTCTGAAAGCATGCAGCTGGGTAAGTTTGACATGTGTACCCCTGTGAAGCTGTTAGGCAAGAAAATAGATATGAGTGGGGTGGAAAGAGAATAAGGCCACAAAGCCCACTAGAAGGGACTCAAAAAGTTAACCAGTTAAAACTAGAAACCCAGAAAGGACTCAGAGTTAATGAGTTAATCAGTTAAAGCTCAAAAGGCCAGGAGCAACTTGGCCTGAAATGCTTGAATATTTCTCAGTATCTAGCACAGCCCATGTCTTCATGTACCAATTAGATGATGCCTTTGTAAGATTTATTTTGGCCTGCTTAAAAGGCCCAGCTATTAACTGCATATAAAAGACTGGAAAGATTCCACCTTAAAGCTAAAATTGCATTTTAAAACTCAGCCCATCTTGGAGGCAGGGCAGGTGGTCTTGTTTGATATGCTCCCAGACCAAGACACCAGTATCTCAGGGAGAAATCAGAGCAGTACATTTCTTGTGTTAATTTTAAATATTCAGAGACCACTTAACAAGTCTGCACCCCCAGCCCTTGGTCACATTCCTGAAGAATCCTTAAAAGGGGGAACCCCCAACCTTTCCATGCGCTCCTCTCTCTGAGGTCGTCTGCACTTTCTAAGTGCGTAACTAACTTTTCCCCAATCTTTCAGTTTCAATTCTTTGTTGTGGCGGGGACAAGGACCAAGGAAAATACACCATGACCTCCCCACGACAAAGCCATTACGACAGTCAAGATAGTGAAAACCCATCCATGGCCCCAGAAGTTTCCTGTGCTCTTTTATAATTCCTCCTCCCTACCCAACTTCACCTCCATCCCCAGGCACCTGTCACCGTAGGTTGGTCTGCCTTTTCCAGACTTTGACAGAAATGGAATCAGATGGAGCATTCTACTTTTGTGTATGGCTTCTTTCAGTCAGCAGCATTATTGTGAGGCTTGTCCACATTATTGCAAGTATCGGGAGTTCATGCCTTCTTATTGCCAAGCAGTATTCCATGGTGCCACAGCCCGCTGTGCCATTCTCCTGTTGATGGGCATTTGGGTTGCTTCCGGCTTTGGGTCTAACAAATAAGGCTGCTGGGAACGTTTGTGTCCAAATCTTGATGTGGACACATGTTTCCATTTCTTTTGGCTAAGAACCCAGCTGGGTCGTATAAGTGTATGTTTAACCTAATAAGGGCTGACAAACTGCCTTCTGGTGTGGCTGGATCATTTTGTATTGCATCCAGGAAGCACAGTAGAGCTCCGATTGCTCAACATCCCTGTCAGCACTTGGGTTTTTACATTTTAGACATTCTAGTGGGTATGTGATATTCTTACACCAATTCCAATTCCAGTGTGTGGGTTTTTTCCCTCACACCAAGCACCATGCAATTCTCTGACAGCAGTTGCGTGTCCTTCAATTCAACTCAATTCCAAAACTATCTCCCCAGAGATAACATCAGATCCCATAGTTTAAAGGCTCAGTCCTGTAAGACCATCCCACCCCCTTCAGACGCCAATCGAAAGTCTAGATTGTCCCCCTTGCTTCTAAGTGAGAGGAGCTTCCAATGACCCCTTCCTTGGGTTCAATTAATTTGCTAGAGCTGCTCGTAGAACTCAGAGAAACATTTCAGTTACTAGATTACCGGTTTATCATAAAAGGAACAGCCCAATGAAAGAGATGCTTTGGGCCAACGAGCGGGAAAAAGCCCGGAACGTCCACACTCTCCGAGTGCACCAATCTCCACAAATCTCCACGTCCATCGACTGGGAAGCTCTCTGAACCCCGTCCTGAGTTTTTGTGGAGGCTTCCTTACATAGACATACTTGAGTAAATGGTTGGTCACTGTGATGAAGTCAACCTCATCACCCCCCCGCCCCACGCCACTCCCTGAGATCAGGTGTGGGATGGAAGGTCCAACCCTCCCATCACACGTTGGTTCCCCTGGCAACCAGCTCCCATTCTTAGGCTATCCAAACCTTACCCCAATAACATAAACTGGACTTGTGGTTGAAAGGGGTTTGAGTTGGGTATCAAGACACTTTTATCATTCTTATCACCTAGGAAATTTCAAAGGTTTTAGGAGCCCTGTGCCAGGAACAAGACCCAAATACGTATTTTGTAGTATAAATCACAGCATCACGATATGCATCTATTATTTTGATGCATTTCAAAGTGAGCTACAGAAACCAGGATGTGGCAACCCAACCTTTCAACAAGCTTATCATTAACTAGGGTTCAGGGTTTTGTTCGCAGTTGTAGTTTTTTAATGGGTGAAATTTACATAATGTAAAACGCACAGATCTTCATGCAATGTGTTCTGAGAAATATTTAACTTGTGTAGACCTTCCCTTTTGCTGGTCCCAGTCTGAGGAGCTAAAGGGCCTGGCATATTGTCCTGTATGGAATGTCCCACCTTTCGGATTCATATTTTTTCCTCAAAGATTCCATTAACCTTAAAAATAAAACAGTTATTTTACCAGCAAAAATGGGTTTATTCAGGAAGAGCAGAGAGTTGCCATCCAGTACATGCAACTTCCGGGAGTACCACACGCCTGTCCAGAGAACAAAGCAGACCAACACCCTTTTATAGAGGAAGGGGCCAGTTAGGAGGGCTGTTTCTAAGCAAAAAGTCCATTGAAGGAAACTGGAAGTCCCACGTATCGTGGCTTCTCATTGGCTGAGTTGCGACAGTCTGACTGGTTGGGCCGATGCGGGAGGCAGAAGGTGGAAACCTTCTCCCTGCTGGGTGGGAAAGTGGCGAAAACTGTATGGCATCTGCTTCTTGGGATGGAATGTGGGATTTATGAGGAGTGATGGGCATGAGAGCTGCTCCTGCAGGCTCTGCAACACCATGTCAGTGAGGTTTTCCTTGATTAATTTTCATGATTCTCAGTTTCCTCATCTGTAAAATGGGGATGATAATGGTGCCCACCCCATGCTGTCATCATGAGGATTAAAGGAGAAGCCGTGCAGCTGTGTTGGCACTGTGCCAGGCACTGAGTTAATGCTATGTTAAGTGTCTGACAAATACAATAAAACTATGACTGTGCACCTTGGTATGACAAAGGTGTCCCAGGTTGTGTCGTGCCCTGGCAAGGCTCGCTGGGTTCCCTGAGCTGGGAGAACGTGCCTCATCACAGGATGCACAGAGCAAGGGCAGGCCAGGTCACAGAGGGAAACAGGGATTGGGCCCATTCTGTCTGCTGGAAGGCACAGTCCCACCCCCAAACCTTTGCCCCTGTCGTCCCTTCCGCCCTTCCTTTGCTCACCTCCAAGTGCTTGCTCAGATGTCACCTCCTCTGTTTTAAATTTAAATTACAATTTGACACAAATCCTGCTCTGTTTCCTAGTCCTCCATGCTGCCTCAGTTTCCTCCATGGCACTATATTGACATGTTTATTCTGTCTTTTTCTAATTGATGCAAAGATGCTAAACAGGCCACCAACTTCCACCTCGCACCCTCGGCTTCATCCACACTGGCCTCCTCCATGTCCCTTCATCACACCAGGTGCACTCCTGCCACAGGGCCTTTGCACTGGCCGTTGTTTATGCAATGCTCTTCCCCCACATATCCACCCAGCTTGCTCCCTCACCTCCTTCAGGCCTCTGCAAAATGTCACCTTCTCCAAGAGGCCCACACTGACCACCCATCTGAAACAGCCCCTGGTTCACATTCCAGCCCCTTCACCTGACTTAAGTTTTCTCCTAATACACACCACTCCTTGTCATTTATGTAAGGCTTACCGGTTTGTCATCTTTCTCCTTCACTACGGCACTAGTCTCCTGTTGCTGCTGTAACAAATTACTGCAGATTTAGTGATTTAAAACACAAATTTCCTGTCTTACAGATCTGGAGGTCAGAACCGGTCCAAAGCGGTTCTTCTTACTAAGCTGAAATCAGGGTGTCTGCGGGGCTGAGTTTCCCCTGGAGGCTCCAGAGGAGAATCTGTTTCTTCCATTCCCAGCTTCTGGAAGCCCCCTGAATTCTTTGGCTTGTGCCACCTTCCAAAGCCAGCCAAATGGCACCTTCAGCGGCTATCTGACCAAGGTCCTCCTGGCTTCCTCTTTCACTTAAAAGGACCCTTGTGATTACTGTGAGACCCTCTTCCCTGCAAATAACCAAGGTAGTCTCCCCATCTCAAGATCCATAACTCGATTGCATTTGCAAAGTCCCCTTTGCCATGTGAGGTGCTATTTGTTCTGGGACTAGGATATGGGGTTGTTGCTCAGCCCACCACAATACAGGCCCATTTGTTGTTCACTGCTGTACCCATAGTGCCTGGCACACAACAGGTGCCTGTGGGAGCCGCTGAATGAATGGAACACCAGGAGCAAGAAGGGCAGGATGGATGTTTGGTGCAGCAGGTTTTGGGGGAGCAAGGGTCAAAGCGGAAGTGCCAATCCCAGGAGGAAGTAGGGACAGTGCCCCTGGCTAAGGGGGAGGAAGAAAGAAAGAGCGGGGATAAGCAGACAGGTCGGGCTGGCAGGAGGCAGAAAGATGAGGCAGCAGTTGGGGCATCCTGTTCTCCAACCTGAGCATGCCTTCCACCCTCCTACTCACCGCCCTGGCCCTCGGGCTGGGCCCGGCCTCCCTGGAGCCGCTGCAAGGAAGGGGGAGAATGATGGTGGTGGTGGTGTGGTGGGGGGGGGTTCGGGGATGCCCAACTGGCACTGCTGGTTTGGCTGGTCCTGGCATCTTGGCAGAGAAGAGCCCTGGGGACAGGGGAAGATGTTGCTGGGAGTGCCCGGGAGGACAGGAAGCTGGAGAGATGAGGCTCCATTGTCCATGGGGTCCAACCGCCCACCCAAGAGTCTCCCCAGAACCAGGAACCTTCCCACCAGCAGGCCCGTCCCGCCTCAGACCCAGGGCCCAGGTTCCCTCCCAAGTCACCACCAGGACTGACCTCAAGGAAATCCTGCTCTCTGTACACCTGTGTCCCTCCGCACCCCTTTTTTTTGTGACTGGGCAGCTGGTAAGGACCCAGGTTCTCAGCGCCCCCTCCCCAGCGTTTCTCCCAGTCTCTGCGCGCCTCCAGGGCTGTGAGTCAGGGTCTGCAGCCCCGCTACCCGCTAAAGGAGACCGGAAGCGGCCGGCGGGCCCCCAACAGGCTGACAGCCGCGCAGCCCAGGTCTGGGAGCAGGTGGGCGGGGCTCCCGGTGAGTGTGCGGGTGGGGCTGGGCTACGGTATCGGCCGGGACAGCCTCATCCCCGGGGATGGAGTAATCGGGGTGGAGAGAGGGGAAGGAGGTTTCTGCCACGCGGAACATGCCACATGCCGAGATAGACCCGTTGATTAGAGGGGCGCTGGGGGGAGGGAACCCTGCGGCCTGGAGGTGTCGGCCGCCGTCCTCCCGCCCCAACCGGCGTGATGTCCTCCTTTCCTTCTCAGAGGGACCTCCAACGCCTTGGGGACGTGGGCCTCTCCCGCCCATGACCCACCCCTTCGCCAGGCCCGGGTGCCTGGGTGTCCCAGTTTCCTCTCTGTCTAGGTTACCCGAAGCCCACCCCCTCCTCCCCCAGCCCCCCGACCCACACGCAGGAGCCTTGCCCCCAGCCTCGGTATTGTCCCGCCTTCCCAACCCCTTTCAGAGTCCGCACTCCTGACCCAGGATTAGGAGCCTCGTCCCAGCCTCTGCCCTCCTGGGAACCCAGCCTCTACGCAGCCAGAGCTGGGGCGTCCTCAGCTCTCCCAGAACTGCCGGCAATTACTAGCTTTTAATGGAAAGGTCGGCCTCCGGAGGTGACAATGGCCCCGATTCTGTGGAAACATGACCTCGTGACCCAGTGACCTCCCTTTGCCCGTGTCTGAGCCCCAAGAGCAAAACGGGCATCCTGGGGCCTCCTGGGGCCTAGGTGGGGGCCTGGGCAGAGGCCAGGGAGTTGAGAAGGGGGTCCGGACTCTGCCTATGGCAGGAGCGCCCCCACCTCCTGCCCTTTGCTGTCTGCCTTCAGCCGGCTGGAGGGACCCTGCCTGCTCCCCGTTCCTATTCAGCCTCTGAGGTTTAGGACCAGAGAGGCCCCTCTAGGGGCCAGTGGCCCACAGGGGGACAGTGACATTTTCATCTTCCTGGGGGCTCACTGGGGCAGAGGGCATGTCCTGAATGGCCCAGCCCATTCACGCCTTGCTACCTGTAAGCCCCCAGGGTAATGCCCACCCCAGAGCCCGAGAATGCCTCTCTGCCCCCAGATGCCCCTCTTTGGACTGGAGGAAATACCTCCCAGCCGTCTCTCCGGCCTGTCAGCTTTTGCCTGACCGGGACCTCCACCTGGATGTGCTTCCCACTCAGGCCGTTCCCCCCGCTGGGGCATCCTCGCCCCCGGAAGCCACCCCTGACCTCCCAAAGACTCCCTGGGTCCCCAGGCAGGACACCAAGCAGACTGAATCTGCCCCAAGTCAGCAGTCGATTCTTATAATATGCCAGCCATGCTTGTCATTTTGAACTTTCAAGTACCCACATTTTTTTTAAAAGACAAACAGATGAGATTAATTTTCGGAGTGCTTTATTTAATTCAATCTATCCAAAATAGTCATCATTTCAACCTCTGATCAATGTGAGAATTATTCGCGAGAGCTTGTACCTGATTAACCACAATTAAAATTAAATGCAATTGGAAATGTTCACTTCCCGGGTCACATGGGCCACATTCTAGAACTTAGCACCCACGTGAGGCCTGCAGCCCCTGGTTGGCCAGCCTAGCCCCCCTGTTGGCTCACTTGCCTCCTTTGTGGATGCAATGCCCCGCCCTGCGCCAGACGAGGCCTCCCCAGATATTAGTTGGAGGGAATGGATGGTTGGAAAATGGATGGATGCATAAAGGGATGGATGGAGGGATGGGCAGCTGGATGGATGGATGAATAGAGAGACGAATGGGATGGAGGGATGGAGGGAGGGAGGAAGGGAGGGAGGGAGGCATGGATGGAGGGATGGATGGGGGGATGGAGGGAGGGATGGAGGGAGGGATGGATGGAGGGATGGAGGGAGGGAGGGAGGGAGGGAGG